CGTTTTTACCGTTCCCTTTCTAAAAGTGATAATTGGCCGCGCTCGCACCAGTTGACCATCGCTTTAGAATTCCCCAGTGTCGTGCTGTTATCCCAGTGCGTCGTTTTCCCCAGTGTGTTTCATTCGTCGCGTCTGTCCCCTATGTCGTCGTGTCGTCTGCATCTTTGCATTAACCATTCCAGCATACGCATCATAGCATGACCAGCATTAGCATATTTCCGTTTTGTCCATAGCATTTCATATCGCCGCATCTAAGGGCAAAATTTTCGGTTATCTATATTTAAATCCCTCCACCGTGATTTCTCGAGTCTCTGCCGCTCAAATCATCCGGCATAGCTATTTAAACAGGGGCAACTGTAATACCCCAAAATTTTCCCTCAGATTAGTCAATTCATGTTGCATGTCATGTCATTTTTGCATCAACTAACTATTAACGGGTTGTGTAGTTTTGTTTCGTTTTGCAAGAACCGCGTCTGGTACACTTTAGTTTTTAAAGGGCAAAATGGTCATTTTCACGTTGTTTACTGACAGTCCTCGAAGCTAAGTTATCATCAGGGATTTACTGAATAATTAGGGTCTTCGCTTCCGAGTTTTTTGTATTTTTATTTTCTTTGAGGATAAACAGAGATTCACGGTAACCTTTGGCATCAGGATTTTTGAGATACGGTAATTAATTCGACGGGCTGAGACTCTGTCGTCAATTGAGTTCCGAGACATTTATTTTGTCACTTGGGTTTGAGTATGTTTGAGACATTAAGCTGGTTCGGTTCAAATCGGGACAAGATTCCATGCGGCGGAATTTCTGTTTTAATCAGTTTAATTTTCTGTTTTTCTGCTATCTGCCAGTTATTCTTGAAGCCAAAGCAGTAGAAATTCTGATTCGGATTCGGGTTTTGATTGCTGTTTGATTGAGGTTTATGGGACGAGTTGGTTTATGGTTTGGTATTTTATCAGAGACGCAAATTGAATTTTAATGTGGAATATATTTCTGTTTTCACTGTTAATCGATTTTCTTTGCTTCCTTCCTGTTTTACTTTGTTCAAGACTATCATCGATTCTATCATCAGGCGTGATTTAATCTGGAAATATTGGATTGGAACTGAAGGTTACATCATGTTTTAAGAAACACGGTTTGAGATGACGAAGTTTAATTCATTTGGGTTTTTTCTGGAATTTATTCATATTGGTTTCATACGGTGAAGTTGGTTTTATTATTAATCGTTTAAATTTAACCGATTAATTTCATTCAGAGAATTTTGACCAAGTTGATTTTAATCAGATATTGTTTTGGGTCATTCGGTTGCGACAAAATTAAATCATGGAAAGAAGAACCAAACGTTGTTCTTGGGTAGAAATGTTATAAATAATTTTATTACAAATTATAAAAGAAAATACATTTTGATTTTTATTTCTAAGTCCTATGATCTTCATGCCGATTCTTCATGTTTCTTCATCCGATGTTTCCTTCCGTACCTGCACACAGATAAAGAACAGAAAAGCGGAGTAAAAAATGTTAGAATTTATTTTGACACCCTCAGAAAAATGTCATCACCGGGTGTTAGGAGGGCACGACAATTGCCGCAACCTACTCCCACTTTAATCCTCGACCTCGGCATCAACCGGTAGTATCCATTCTTTTCGGGACAGCCGAGAAGAAGAGAAAAAGAAGTCCTGGGCCGAAAACGATTTTTGCCGGAAAATTGTTTCGAAGCCAAACGAATTACCCACATGAATTTAAAATCCATATCCATCTATCAAGTAAATATATCCAAAACAAATCCAAATATCCAGATTTCAAAGCCAATCGAAAATCCAAATCTGGACCTATGGATCCAAGAATAATATTTCAGCAAATCCAATATCTGAAAATAAAACGGATATCCAAATCAACATCAGAAAAGAATCAAACTCATCCAAGATCTGTAAATCATAATTAAATCCAAAACAATACCAGCCAGCAAATCCGAAATAAAATCAATAAACGTAAAATCCGGATCCAAAAGCCCAACAGCGTAAGCAACTTTTCACAAATATCACAAGAACCCAGCCACCAAACCGTCCAAGATCAACAAGCAATGACCACCGTTCAAAGTTCATCCGATAAACTCGCCGAAAACATATCAACACCCAAAGTGCATCCGGCCCACAAACCAACGAAACAAAATCATATAAATGGTTTTCAAATCGGAACCCTAAGGGAGGCTCACAAGCAAAAACGACAGCGGCATAACAAAAGTTGGATTCAGAAGCTTCCAGCTTCATCATCATTCGCAGAAAAAAGAAGAAAAGAACCGAACTTTTGTGAAACCGTGAGCTCAAAGGCGAAAGTCACCGACACCGTTCATCAAAGAAGTGGCGGGCAATCCAAAGCCGTCCTCAGTTCTCAACATCATCGGACCGTCACCATCATTGTCCGCGACCGAAACATCACCGGAACCGCAAGCCACCGACGAAAGAGGTAAATCTATGTTTTTACGATTTTGGGTGTCTCAAGTGGAATCGAAAGAAGGACGTGACATGCAGCAAGAAAAGAGGAGGTTTTCGAGCTTCGAGAAGCTTCCATGATGCAATGGCACCGCCGCACCCGCGAAAAAGGGGAGGGGTTTTGAGAACCCCAACATATGAATTATGTATTAACCTTTTTGTCCGATTAGTGAACGTGTGCTTTTGTGTTCTGTTTATTTGTTTTCTGTAAGTCACTATTTGAAATGTTTTATTCTTTATATAACCTCTAACTAAGAAATAATAACGTTCACAGCTTCTGGTTTAGTAAGTTTTATAACCAATAATTTAATTAATTTTTCTTTTTATTTTAGTGGTCATTAATTGAGTACTTTTTAAATTACGGTTGTGGCATGTGTTTGTTAATGGTGTATAACTTGTAATCCAATCTGCTTTATACATTATAAAAAAGGGGGAAATCAACTTCTTTGTGAAAGTGAGAGCTTTACGTTTTAGAAGGGGGTTAAAGTCTTTGTCAAAGAAAATTAAGTTAGCCTTTCCTTTTTCTTCTTTTTCAAAATTTAAATTAATTGGTTTCATTAATAAAAATTCAAAAATGAAAATTAATTATTTCTTTTTTCTTCTTTTTTAAGATTTAAATTAATTGGTTTCATTAATAAAAATTCAAAAATGAAAATTAATTATTTCTTTTAAAATACAATTCAAAGGATTTTCTAACCGTCCGCTAATTTTCGTCCGAATTTCCGTTGACTCCTCTTCACCTATGTTCATTCCATGAGTTCTGAGCATGTTTTAATTTTTTCGGTTGTGAGCATGCGAGGCAATCGTCACACGTTATTCTGTCTTTATTTTTGTTCCATGGATGTAATTTACGCGAGACCTTGGTCGCGGGTTTTTTATTTTGCATTTTTTTGGGACTTGTAATTTACGCGAGTGATCATCGCGACGCTTTCTTTATGCTTCCTTTAGTTCTGTACTTTAATACTGCTATATAATAATTTGCCATCCTTGCATGTTTTACCGTTTATTCCCTCCGAAGGAATTAGGTCTAAACCGTTTGACCGCCGAGTCAATAGTCCTAACCCTTGACCGTTTCAAAACCCTAATAGCCTAGGTGTCCCGCCGTGGACGAAAACACCCTTTACCCTAGCATTAGGTCAAAGAGTCGTCGTACTCTGTTTTAGGGTTTCCCGTCGTGGAATCCCTAATTTCAACCCTAATTTTAATTCAACTTTTCAATATAGAAATAGGAGTTTCAAGACTCCACGTAAATGTTTCCTTAAGAAATGCTTACTCCCCATTGAAACCTTGACCACATTCAAGACGTTTCTAACCTCCCTTTCGAGGTGAACTACAATTACTCTGATTCCATTCCCTAACCCAAATATGTAGGCACAAGATGCGATGTCTTGCCGAGTAAACTTAGGAATAACCCTTAGGTCTTTAGGTCACTCTATCCCTTAGCTCAATATATATTAAACCAGATAATAAATAAAAATAAAAGGCATACAATAAACAAAAGGTTCCTGTAGAGTACTACAGAAGATTAGGGTGCTAGTACCTTCCCTAAGCTTAACCAACCCCTTACCTAGGTCTCTCCCCGCATTATGTTTATGATGCAAAAATAGGTTTTCCCTCTTTTGACCTTTTCCTTCGGATAAATCAAAGAGCGGTTGTGAATCAAAAAATTATGATTCAAACTAATTAATAGTTTGTTATCCTATTTCCACCGCAACAATAGGGCATTTCGCTCCTAACATCCCTAACACTAGTAACTTAAACCGTCCGCTTGCAACCTAGTAGCATTGGCGACATACAGAGTCTCTCACCTCATGTGAGCTGGTCCCTTACACAGTCTAAAAAACCACCACCCAAGGCTACTCACCGCCGTGAGCTAGCCCTCATCCATTCGTGTAATATACCTGTCGCACCCTAATTTTTGACCTTAAGATTCCACCTCCTTGACTGTTTTCTGGCGTGTGTTATTTTACTTTTGCACATGTTTATTAAGACTAACTAGTTTATTCATATGCATTTGATCTTAAATAGTATTTCAGGGTACGACCAGGTGATCTCAATTTCGAAACAAACTAGGGGTTTGTTTCTGCTTGTTCTAATTTATAATTAATGCTCCCGGTCTTTTTGTCTTTTAATAATATTTCTCTAATAAGCTTTGCTAAGACCAGGTGAACCTCATTCTCATGTTCAACTAGTGGTGAGCGTAGGTTGTGAGGCAACGTTGCTATCCTTTTGTTACAAGTGAAGAGAAGTACGAGAAGTGTTATTAGGGGAGGGTGTTTCATAAAATATCTCCTATGCTATTCATTGTCGTCCGGATATTGCCCTCAGATTCCGTTTATTATTCACTCAATAAGGGAAAGTCCCATTCTTATTGAAGGAGAATCATTGAACACTTTGCATCATGATCACATTATCACAAAGATGAAGACACGTGAATCTTTTTACTTCCTACCATTTGACTCAAAGTAACAACAGGTTCTAAGTTACAAATTTGAAGTATTACAAATCAGTTACATTCAATTCTTAACAGCATCTACAAAACTTCTACCGGCACTTGTCACGACCAAGATTGTGAGGAGCCTCGTCGTTCCTAACAACAATGCCTTAAAATGATTATGCTTAACTAACGGCTCTCCGCAGAAAGACCGGCAATAACTGAATTTGACGATCTCCCTCAGAGTTGTAACAGTGAGGCCAGGAAGTATCAACCGAGCATCATCCCGTGGTCTAAAGGAATTGGTCAGTAGGATCCTCCTTGAGTTGATGGAGAAGATCTTGAGAAATTTGCAAGAAATATCCCTGAAGAATGTGTCCATTCAAAAGGTAAAGACCTGCAAAAGCTCCTAAGTCCATCTACCTGAAAAGAGGAGAAAAGTAAGCAACAACAACAGCGTAATTCCGTCATACCGCAATCATGTGACGGGTTTCAAATCCATGGAAATCCACAAATTACACATACATAGCTGCAAGATTAAGGGAGCAGAGTCACGACATCTCGTCACGCCCAACCCTCGTATTTTGTTCTCACCGTCCTTGCCATCTCCGGTCCACAACCTGCAGCTATCCACTACACCAGTTGAGAAAACTTGAGAGGTATAAGCTTGTAAACTAAGGAATTCAACTCCAAGCTTCCGCCGACGCAACTCGAATGTAGCTTCACAACCTACATTCACAATGAGAAACTTAGAGCAAACCATTTACAATCATTTACCAATCTGGGAAGTATACATAAAATGGAACAGGGTGGCCGCGACTACCTCATATTATAAAGCTACACTAAGCACTTTACGACAACCTCGCAATAATATACCGACGACAAAGGAATTATGCAGATGTCGTACCCTGCTACAATGAGATCCTCCGCGTCGATCCTCTGGCAGTTGAGGGTCTTATAAATCAAAGCATTACCTACAAAGATTGGAAGAATTAATGAGGCTATCTAGGATTATATACGTGCGGTTACTGCTGAAGCTGGGTCACTGATTGAGTCGTTTCACCTTTTCAGTATACACATATATACTTGGAACAAGTTATCTACCTCCCCCGTTGCTACTCTGTAAACGTTTATAAGCAAGAAAATTAGACAACAGCTTGCAAGTTGGTTACACAAAAAAACAGAACAAGAATGAAGCTGCCAATTAAATCAATGCGGTGAACATCGAGATAACGACAGTAAAGGACCTACCTGAAGATCGTTCTAGGATGGACAATCCACCAAATTCAACATAAACCTGAAATGGAAAACATTGGTAGTTAGAAGTGGTCATGATAACAGATTCTGATTGAAAATAACAACCAATCCTTGCCAAAAGTGGAGCTTATCATAAGGGACTTAAAACCTTATTAAGATGAACCAAGAACCACCGTTAACGGCCTTGTTTATGAAGGATTATTGAAATTGTTAGTAGAACCACCCTCCTCCCTCGATGCACTCTTCATGACCTGTCCAAAACAAACAAGGAAAGTATTCATTCACTCACCGCCATCAAGCATATTCTTGACGGTCTTCAAGCGTCTTCATTGTACTTCCAAAGCGGTCCTAGCATTCAAAGTGGAAATCAAGCTCGTTGTGTTCTTCCAAGATAGACCTGAAACCAAATCAACCAAAGAAGATCAAGTCACCGTCATCTTTTAAGTTACAGCATCTCTAAAGAAACATTAGGCAACCATAACCAGAATGAACAGATCAAAGTAGGAATTAGGATTGTCACCTAAATTCAAGTTCTAGTAATGACAGCACTTCATCGGATCCTGCTATTTCCGACCCGGTCTCATGACAGGTTTCATATTTGTGCCTCTCTGCATTGAATCAGCTGCGAAAAACCCGCGTTAAAACCATCCAAGATTTGTTCACATAATCCCTTAATGCATCAAGATAAGAAGCAGTATGAAGAGGTTGAAGCTCGTTCCTCCGCTAGCATTGACCAGCTCAAAGACTTGATAATAACCGTTGACGGTATAGCCTCGAGACTGCACCTTTATTACTCATATAGCTCACTGAAGACATTCACTCTGCAATTGGGCCTCCGTTGGACTTTGACTCTCGGAATTGCCTTCCGTCTTAACACGCACCATGGGGTTGTTCAGGCACTGCATTTTCCAAGAAAAAAACACATAAGGAGAATAGAATAACTGAGAATTACAGACAGATACAACAACACACAAAAATGGACAACATTGAAGTGGGTTTGATGCTTCTAATTGCCAGCATGAGTTTAGAACACTATAACGCCAACGCCAGCACACAGTTCTAGCACCAAGTACGTGTATATGTTTTGAATTGGATTTGCCGCTAACAAGTCGAAAATGCCCAAACATCTAAATGTACTTCCCGCCACTAGAGAAACCGTATTAACCTTTCTGCATAAAGAAACAGGTGTTAAAATCCATTAAAGCTTAAGACAGATCCAATTGTAGTTCGGACAGGAAAGCTTACCAAGAATTTCCAGTCGAGTTACCGACATCGTTCACGACTCCTCAAAACCTGTGGAAAACGCAAGCTTCATCACGATAATGGGCAGCCTTCATAGCTTCGCAAAGGAATTTCGTGCCTAAAGAACACGGAGAAAACGTAGTTAGCGGCAGTTCGGTGATCACTCATATCAATTCGTAAGAAAGGAAAATTGGCATTACCTTATGCCTATAAGGATTAGAGCTGTTGCACGTAAGGATGCGGTGCAAGTCCGAAGCCATATCGTCGGTTTGAGTTCGCCATCATCAATCTTCCTGCATAAAGTCTTAAGTCAGAATCATTATCAGAAAAGAGTTTAGTTTAAACACACCTCAAACAAAGTAACTGAAACTGGTAAAGGACCTCACGTGATTGACAAATATGGGCAAAATTGCTCTTCAAACACAATCAGACAAAATAAGCTGGATATGGCAGGTTCATCAATCACTGATCCACAACAAAGGAACAACAATTAGACAGTAATTAAAACCTTCCGAATTAACATTAACGAAGCCATAAATTAATTCCAAAACAAGACTAGACAGGTCGATACAAAGAAGGAAGGAAACTTTACCATCAGGATCTTTCATTCCAAAACGAGCAGCCATATACCATTAATGTAGTATCAATGCTTTCAGACTCTCAGAGCACCTATAAAGGAACAAGAAACTGAGATGAGAAGGGACCAGAAATCGACAATCACAAAGAGATACGAAAAAAAATCCATACGAACATCACAGATTGCACAATCCACAATATTCAAAAAAAAAACCACGCAAAAATCTCACAAAAATCCCCAATCACAAATTCACAACAGTTCATCATGAAAAACCCCAATTCCCAATCGAATCCCTAAATTAAACCCCAGAGGTCGGAAATCTAAAAAGGAGAAACTTATCTCCTCTCTTCTTCGCAAGAAACCGCCGGAAGCCGCTGCGAAAAACTCCCGTTCGCGACAAAATCATTTACCATCATTGTCCCCCGCCGTCCTTCATGAAGCCACCTTCCGTGATCTCAACTAAATGAAACCCCTGCAAAACCCATCTTTAAACATGAGATTCTTATATTGATGTTAATCCGTTGTTGTTGATTGTTTTGTTTATGCAGGAAATTGAAGAATAGAGAAGGAGAGAAACATAGATCGTGAAGAAGAAGATGGATCGAAAGGGAGAGGGAGATGAAACGAGGGACGGTGACGATGGAAGAAGGAGAACGAGAGACAAGGATGGATCAGAGAAAGAGGGGAAATTGGGGGAATTTTAGGGTTTCCTTTTAATTTTTATATTGTAATCCTGTGCACACACATACACGGTATCACCATGCACCATCACAATCACAACCACATGATCCACATCACGCGACCCTCACACGTGTGTTCACCGTAAGCCTGCACCCGCGTAACACTCGATCACACGCCCTCTCCCAATTAACTCCAAATCCTCCCCTAATCAACCAATTAACCGTTAATCTTTTTTTATTAGTTTAATTACATGTCTAATATTTAATTAATTAATCTTTCTAAAATAATTAACCTGTAATCAAACCTTAATCACTTCTTTTTTAAAAACTAATAATCTTTTCATTAACCCCCTTTTATTAGGCAATTTAATTAATTTAATATTTCACTAACTTTTTTATATATCATGTTATTAAAACCCTTTTTAGATTATTCAGAAAGATATTTTCAAATTTAATTGGCTCCTATAATAATAATTAAAATCATTTTATCTTAATAAACCTTTTAAAATAACTCTCATTTTTTTTATTATTAACTAAAACTTCTTTTAACCTCTTAAATAATCCCTTAATTAATTTAATTCTTTTTTTCATAATAAATTTATTCATAGCTTTTATATAATAATAGACCTCCTTTTATTGTAAAATTAACTTTTAACTTTTATAATAATTAAGAGTTCCGCTTTTAATAAACTTTTATAATATAAAAAACCCTTTTTCATAATTAATAATAAACAACTATTTTACTCACTTCATGGCAATCCTTTTTATCGATGAAAATAATTTTTATAAATAGCTTTAATAATAACCTTTATATTTATATAATAAAAAAATAAAACTATTTAACTTTTAATAGAAATTTTTTATATAAATAAATAATGAAAAACCTTTTATGATAACTTAAGTAAAAGGAGAACAACTTAAAAATCATTTTCATAATTTAAAATACATTTCACTTGTTAATAATAACTAAACCTTTTAATATTAGAAAACTGTTTTCTTAAGTAAATTAACTTTTATAAGATAATGAACAATTTTGCTAAAACAAATCTAATGCAACTTCCTTCCTAAAATTAATCCAACTATTTTCTTAAAATCAATTCAACATTCCTCTAAAATCAATCTCTCCCTTAAATCAACCTTTCTCACATATAAAACCATATCACCTAAATCAATTCAACCTCCCTCTTAAGGTCAAACTTTCTCTAATCAACTCCCAACTTTAATCCAATCGTGCACACTTCCACTCGCACATTCACAATTCACACACTTAGCGCTTTCATGCGTGTGTATGCTTTACTTTCCGCAATTTACAATTATCGTATCTATCATTCTCGTATTGCATTCCGTCCAAATGAAAAACCTACACATGATTCAACAATCGTGTGTAGTACACATCATTTGCATCATTCTCCCACATGATCCTTGATCCCATTCAAGTCGATCTTTAAGATAGATCCTACCCCATAGGAAGGACCTTATCTTTACAACTTAGAACAAACATTCAATCAACAATACAATATTCAAACACAATAGAGAAAGATGTTAATCATCTTAAGCGAGATAGAATCTCCACCCCACATCAATATAATCAATATCATAGGAACTATGCCTTAAGAGAGATAGAGG